GGGGGGGGTGCCATTGGATTTGGAAGGTCGTTCACTGTAGAGAGGTGAGATTCTTCACTGGATGCGGGAGCAGATGCAGAAGCAAAGGTACGAGGTTTTGGGAGGTGGATTGGGTGCTGTCCGTGGTCCTGGATCGCGCTGCCATTCTATACCAAAGCTCCAATTGTAGTAAAAAGTCTCTCCCTCCCTCGCTCTCTCCCTCCCTCCCCCTCCCTTACCCCTCCCTCATTTTTATTGTTGTTGTTTAAATCACAATGTTTTTTATCTCATGAACCAATTTTTTTGTGTGAAACAATCAAAATAAAACAGATCATGTGTTTTTGATGTCATATTCCTGTTAAATTTCTATAATAAGTTCCTAAAAAGTTGCTCCCAAGTTCTATATTTATCTGATTTCAAATTTTAACAAATACTTCAGTGATCACCTCTAACCCTCAGACTGCACTGTACATTGCATTCTTTCGTGGTGGTGGTCCAGCAGTCAGTCTTCCAACAGTGCTCCCTAAATGGTCAAAAATATAAAATTCTTACTGTTGTGTTGGGCATATAACAGGGTAGTGTCCAAGTGGCTTCACAGCAGTATTTCAAAGCACATTAACTTAGATATTAGAGAGCAGTGATGTAGTTTCCAAGAGAAAAAGTATTGTACTGTACTGATGATAGAACAACTTCTTTCTGAGTGGTAACAGGGCAGGAAATATAAGCGCACTCTTCCCTCTTTGCAGTAATCTCATTCCACAGTGGCTATCAAGACTACTGAAACAAGGTGCCAGTTGTGAGATTCAGAGGAGATACTGGGGAGCTACATTATTTCCTCATCGGTGATTCCCTCCAAACTCCGATGGGCATTCATTAACTGCTATGTCCTTTCTGGAAGATCCACTCAACCTCTGCTCTTACCTTTTCATCTACCTGTCTAATTCCTTCCTATTCACCTTTCAAGATTCAAGTCCAGAAGCACTAACTTGTTTTTCCACCCCTAAGCTCCTCAAGGCTTTGTAAATCCCTCCACTACAGTGTTAATCATGTCAAATCGTAATTGCTTATTTACAAGCAAGTTCCTCAGGGCCTTATAGGTGGGAGAGATAAAGACATGAAATTATATCACACATTCATTTCTGTGCTCCTAAAACCAGGAAAAGCACAAGCTGCACTGGAGAAAGGGAAGAAAGGTGTAAGAAAAAAAGAAAGAAAAAGAAAGACAGAGAAGGTAGGAAGGGAGGAAAAAATAAAGAAAAGGAGTAAAAAAGAAATAGAAATAGAGATTTATTGAGGGGTGGAAAGGAAAAGAAGAGAAGGAGGCTGTGCCAGGAAAATCTAGTGTAAACAAACATACAAACAAAGAAGCAAAAAAATGACTGCTACAGACAGAAGGTATTTAGAGCTCAAAAGAAGCAGAAACATCCAGGATTATGCAATGTAATCTTTTTTTTTTTTTTTTTTTTTTTGGTACCAGGGATCTAACTCAGGACCTTGTGCTTGCCAGGCAGGTGGTGGAACCACTGAGCTAAATCCCTGGCCCCTACGATGTAATCTTTATTGGGAGAAATGTGATCAACAGCAGCTGTACAGATTGGTGAGTCCTTATGACTTGGGCCAGAGGGAGGGTGCTTACATATAAGGACCAAGTGTTCAGGACAAAGAGGTCTCCATTCAAACTGGAATATTCCTGTTCTGTTTTAAGCTAACATTTAAGATGCAAGGAACATTACTGGCATTGACAGTGCTGGGACTAGTCATAAAGCTCCACATACCACTCTCATGGTTTTGTTTATGTGCAGTGTGCCAAGAAACAATTCCCAGAAAACAGGCTATGGTTACTCAATCGTGGTGTTCATGATGCAGAATGGCTTTAGTGAGGTCAAGTGGATTCCTACAAAGGAAGAAAGCAAGAATGAAACAAGAGAGAAAGAAAGGCAAGTAATAGAGTATCATAATTATAGGAAATCCAAAATCTCCATATATTCTATGCCTAAAACTTTCTTGTGGTGCCCTTTTCCATTATTCACATTAGTTATATTGAACCAGAGACAGTAGGGAAGGGATGCATCAGGGATGGAATATGTGGCACATGAAACAGAGATTTGTATGCATTTTGGTGTAGGATGGATCCTCTGTTTGCTATGGCCTTGAACCTCTGCAGTTCACCACCTTCTCTGGACCACTCACCTCTACACTCATCTTCCTTCCTGGCCTGTGGAAAAATAAATATTTTGTACTCCTCATGACCCTAACTATGAAGGAGCTTCCTATGAAAGGTCTTTTCCCCAGAACACCTAGTTACTGAAGTGGGGTGGTGCCAAATGCAAAAACATCAAAAGCAGTGTCACCGTGGACATGGATCTAGAGCCACTTGACCTTCTTCTCTTACCCCTAGACCATGATGCTCACAGTGATTGCCCTGACAATTCTCTCCTCTCCTACTTAATTGCCTCAGAGGCCCTATCACTAGGCAGGTTCCAAGGAGGCCCCTTAAAAGAGAAGATGAGGGGGGCTCAAATAAGCCTGGGTGCAGAAAAGCATCTCAGGATGTCCCAGTGAGAGGCATGGGCTGATTTATTAAGCAGTGTTAGAAAGTGGATGAAAATGGTATTTCAGCTTTAGGAGCTGATGGGGTCTCACTCTGATGAAGAGGATCAGAGTAATCGCTCAGCAAAGGAAAGGATACAGATATTATGGAATTGTTGGGGTGGGCTAGAGTCTGGTTGATCATTATTTCAGCTCTGGTTTTGCAATTGCTTTTATTGGTTGAGGGGGTAGCTTGATTACTATGAGATCATTGATTGTGCTTGGGGAGTCTCAGTTTTGTAGAAGGCTTGGTTGGAATCCAAGGTAATTTTAGGTTTAGGGCAATAGTAGAGGCTTCTGGGCACCCTTTGGTAGTTGAGTGGCCCTGTAAATCTCTTATAATGGTGAAGTCTTGCAGGGAGATAAGATAGATTATGTAAGTTTAGGGCTGATCAAATGTATGTTGCCAATTTTTAGATGGACATTCCTTAAATTATTAAAATGCCTATATGCAGAATTAAGCAGGGATCTGACACAAAGTTTTAAGGTAATAAAGGACACAAATGCAAAATAAAGGTCAAGCTTTGCTTTGCTTTTATCTTCCCACTGGGCATCTCTAGGCAAAAGCAGCTTTAAGTCTGTGACTGCCTAAGAAGATATCACAAATCATGCTTTTAATGAGTAACCAGTTAAGGGCTCAGGAGTACACCTGCCCTTGGTACCCACAGTGGCCTCTGTGTCAGCCTCTCTGCCTCCTTCACCCATACATCCTTCCTCAGAGCTTCTGGGCAGTCCATCCTATGGGCCTGTGCCTGGCTGGATCCCAAGACTGAAGAGGCTTGTTGCTCCCTCCTTTCCATACTCTGGTCATTCCCACAGGTAGAACAAAAATCAGAGGGAGCAGTGGGCCATGCCTTGGTTCCTAAGAGTCGGGAAGCAATTGATTGCAGCCCTGAGGAAACTTCCTGGGAAAATGTGGCCAAATGCTACAGCTCAGCCTAAGTCTCAGTTCTTCCCCAACCAAAATGCCACCTTCCCACAATAAAATGCTTGTCGTCTTTTCAAATGTCTCCATTGTCTTCCAAAAATCTCTTCAGGAAGAGTAATGAAATGTAGTTTTGGCTGAGGTATCAGGAGATTTCCCTGGGCTCAGCTCTCCTAAAAGCAAATGCTCTTTCCTTACGCCAGAGCCTGCAGATATCTGAGACCCTTCTCTGTTTATCAGTCTCCTTAGTCAAGTTCCCTAACTGGTAAACCCTCCTGTCCTCAAAGGGAGATTTTCTCTATAGGTTTTCATGCATGTGGGAGACCTCATTCTTCAGATTCAAAATTCACTCATTATCTGTGATAAGAAACCCAGGAGAAAAGGTAGAGGAGGGGACGATGACAAATGAGAATGAGGTGGAGGGAGAAGAAGGGTAGAACAAATGCAGAAAGTGACATGGGGTACCCTCTACTGCTTCTCTCCCCCCACAACCTTTTTTTTTTAAAGACAGAGACTTGCCATGTAGTTTAAGCTGGCTTGTACTCTTTGAAACCCTCCTGTCTCAGCCTCTCAGGTGCTGGGATTACAGGCATATGCCACTACTTTGGCTGTTCCTTTCCACCATTTTCCTCCCCTCCAACCTCATGCCACATCTTGTCTTTCTCCTCCCCTATTTTCAAATATAGGTTTTATTGTTACTCAGACATGGTGAGGCTAACAGATCAAGGGGTGACTGCCATTAAAGAGATAGCTGGTCACGTCAGTTCCCAAAGGGGTACACTGGAAAGCACCAGGGGCTCTTAAGGGGCAGGAGGAGGGAAGGGAATTCTGGGCAGGAGACTTTATTGTAATTTTTACAGGAACAAATTTGTAAGCCAAGATATCAGGCTTAATATTGTCTAGCTTGAATGATTCCAATAGGATCTGGGGTGTAGAGATTGTCCTGAGATGTCTGGTATCTGGCTCTGGGTTGATTAGGGCAAAGGAATATTGTCTTGGTATGTGAAAATTTAATAAAGGAGGTGAGGTGGTATGAGTTTTGGATGAAGTTCTTCGCTGTGTAGGAATTAACTTATCTAGGGAAGGAATAGTACCTCATAGTGAAGTATAAAGCATTTAAGCAACTTGCCTAAGCCTGTCCAACTAACCTCCCCCTGTATATGAAAATGTATTATAATTATGCAGGAGAACTGTTATACCATTAGTGTAACAATACACTATGTACAACATATAGCAGTATGAAAAATTTACACAAAAAAATTTTTAAAGAAAGGGTAACCCTTATAAGGAAAAACAGGTCAGGTGTGATAACAACATATACAGTCCCAGCACTCAAAAAGGCTGAAGCAAGAGAATCACAAATGTGAGCCCAGGTGGGAAAGTTGGCCACTAAATGAGGTCCTACTTCAAAATTAAAAAGTAAAAAAGGCACTGGGAATGTAGCTCAGTGCAAAGACCATGCAAATCAATCTGGGTTAATCCCCAGTACAGGGGAGAAAATAAAAGGGAGGGGGAGAGCCAAGAAAAATAGTTCGGCCTCCACTGGGGCCCAGGGTACCACTGTATCCAGACCCAGAAAGTCCCTGCCAAGTTCAGGCTTTGAAAAATGTGAACTGCTGGGATGAGTCTTGTTCCAGATCCTTCCCCATCCCCACCCTGGAAACCAGGACTTGAGATTATGGTCTTGCTTTACCATTAGTTGATTGTGTGACTTTTTTTTTTTTTTTTTGGTACTGGGGGTTGAACTCGGGTCCTTGTGCTTGAAAGGCAGGCAGAGGAACCACTGAGCTAAATCCCCAGCGATTGTCTGACCTTTTAGGGCTGTTCCAGATAAAGGCTCATCTTCCTTGGCTGACCACCCACCCACCTAGCAGAGTGCTCTGCCACTCTGGGGCTGGTATCAGTCATCTCACCTGCACTGTTGCCTGAAAGCTTATGAGTTGACTGTACTGGATCACCACAGAAAAGGAGCAAAGGGGCTGCCCCCTAGGTGCAGGGGAGGCAGAGCTGGTGTCTGCCTCCTGGTATTAGCGTCTTCTCTTGGGGAGTTTCTGCTGTAAGGACAGCTGAGTAGAATCAAAGTAAAACTGAAACTTGTCTTTTAATAGGCCAGGAGCCATCAAACTTTTTCTGAAAAGAATCACTAAATACCATAGACACTGTAGACCAAGAGTAAAATTGAAAATAGCATCTAGATACTTGAATAACATGACAAAAATACCATACTTCATAATTTTTTAAAATTTTGAAACTCAAAAGATAATGATAATTGAATAGAAATCTACTAAAGAAGAACAGAACTGTTTTTCTGGAAGGGAGAGGGTTGCATTCAACTTAATTGGTTATTGTTCTCTCTTATCACAATCTCCCGCAAATGTTTTTTATGCATATTATCTCTCTTTTCACACAGTATTGTCAAATACTGCTATAAATCCAGTTTAATTCATCATATTCATTAGTTGGAAGGCATTTATAGGCACATAACTTAGAATTCTGCTAGCTTCTTTTCTCTTGACATTTGTCTTTTAACAGGTGATAACATTGCAAGTGAATCACTTCCAAATGAAGGTTAGGCAGAAGCCTCTCAATGGTAAAATTAAATGAATTTAGAAATATGAAAATTTCCTTCACCCTGCATCAAGATTTTGCAAATGCTGCTGGAACCATAGTTTGAACTTGCAAAATATGTCTCCTGGAAGTTTGTTCAGGACTAAAGTTCTCATTTCACTGATCTTTGGCACCAGGAGACATGTGTAAAGCAGCTTGAGTACTGTTTATGATTCGAACAATGTAACATGACACAGAATGACTTTACTGAAGTGTAAGTTTCTCTGAGGTACAAGATTAGCTCAGCAGGTTTGGGAGTTCAAACCCTACATATTTCTCCGTTTTTTCTTTTTTGGTACTGGGACTCGAACACAGGGCCTTGCACTTGCCAGTCAGGCACTGAGCTGCTGAGCTACATCCCTGGTCTATCAAACCTTACATATTTCAAAGATACTGAACCTTGGCTAACTCCTACGAGATGACTTCTAAGCTCATGGAATATGCTAACTTGTGAGAGTGTAGTTATCCCTTAGTGTCTGGGGAGCATTGGTTCTAAGACCCCCATGGACAAAAATCTGTAGATGCTTTATGTAAAATGGTATATTTGTATATAATCTATGAAATCCTACTTTACAGTTTCAATCATCTCTAGATTACTTATAACCCCCAATGTAATGTAAATAGTATACTACATTGTTTAGGGAATAACTACAAGAACAAGATTCTACATTTTTAGTTCAGACACTTTGTATTTTGGGGGGGGTTGAGACAGGGTCTCACTATGTAGTTGAGACTGACCTGGAACTCACTATGTAGCCCAGGCTGGTCTCAAGCTCACAACGATTCTCCTGCCTCAGCCTCCCAAGTGCTGGGATTA